TTCTAATGAAAAAAAGGTACCATTTCAGAGATCATATGATGTTCAAAGCTGCTATTCCCACTCAGATAATAACGAGCAAGGTCAGCCTCTGCTGGTCAGGTTCAGTGTTTTGAAATTACATTTTGGGCTGTGAGGTTTCCCTCTGACATCCCAACCAACCGGTCTGCATGGAGCGCACACGCCGCTACAGAAAGTTGCAGCTGCAATTAGCTGGTGAGTTGACACAGCAGGCAAGGCGTGAAACAAAATTTCAAAAACTGCCAAACTTGATCAGCGAGGGTTCCTCTAACACTTGCCATGTCATTTCCAAGCAACAAGAGAGAAGCATCTCAGAAACTTAACCCCTTTCATGGCCAGAGGCTTGCAGAGAGAGGACATAGACAGTATCAGACCCTGCTTTTCTCCTCCTGCGTCCCTTCCAGCAAACCTCAAGCAGTCTGGGCTTTGCAGGCAGAAACCACCTCGAGAGCTGCTCTTTTTTGTTTGAAATTGCCCCACCGCAAGATTGTGATGCTGATTCATTTCTCTATGTACATTTTCCCCCAGTACTTGACAAAAAAATGCCAGGATACCTTGTTCAATTTGATAAGGGCATGTGGTGTCTAACTGGGGCTGTCAAGAAACAAAAGGGTCACCTTCAATGAATTCCACATGTGCTCTGTGAGCAAGGAAAATGAGAAGTAGCAGAATTAGAAAAATTAACAGCTGGACACTCACACATTTAAATACACGATCACAAGGGAACACTGATTATTGCCAGATTCTGAAAGTACCATCAAGTTGCCCTCTCCTCTCCTGTTGCTAGACAGCCAGCACTCTTTTCTTAGAAACAGTAGATTTCTATTTCTGGCTACCTACACTCCCTTCTTTGCCCTTTACAACTTAATAGACTTGCTGCTGGTAAATACAAAACTAAACCAATTCTGAGTGCTCAGAGCTCCAATACACATTAAAAAATTATAGACACCACCTCTGGACATAGTGAAATTTATGTCTGTGTCTAAAGAGTCTGTTATTGCAGCGAGTAATCTAAACTTTACCTCTATTCACAGTCAGACAAACAAGCTTTAATCAGCCTGTATCTTCTCAGTCGGGGTCTTTCTGCAAAATGATTCAGCTGGCTTTATAACACAAGTGTCCACTAAGTACACCTCTAAATTTTTCTAAGGCATTTTACTGATACTTCTATTCACATGGCAATCAGCTGCAGTTCCTCTAAGGGCACTGTTCATAAAGCCTCGTTTCCCAGAGAGCCTGGGAACTTTTTATAAATGGTAGACCTTTTAAATAACAGTTATCTGCACTGGTCCTATGGCGTACGGCTCCGCAGTGCTCTGGTCTGCAAGAGAGCTACTGGTCCCCTCTGAAAGCATGGAAGTTCACCACCTAATTTCTTTAATGCAACTCTAAAGGTTAATTGGTCTGAAAGAGTAATGGAGGACTGCTAGCTAATGATATATGCCTCAAGGCTTTGCAGCTTGCCTGTATTTTATACAGTTAAGTCCAGAGCATAAAACACAGGCGGTATCACCAGGACTTTTCA